TTGCTTTGGGTAGTATTGACATTTTAACAATATTTGTTCTTCCTATCCAGAAGCGTGGAATATTTTTCCATTTTCTGTGTGTGTGTGTCTTCTTCAATCTCTTTCATAAGCTTTCTATAGTTTTCAGTATATAGATTTTTCACCTCTTTGGTTAGATTTATTCCTAGGTATTTTATGGGTTTTGGTGCTGTATGAACTCTTTATATATAAAAGATATTAATCATTTATTATGTTCTTCACCTGGTTATTGTTGTTTGGTTTTATGTTTAATGATACACAGATGTTTACAATTTTTAAAAATGGAGTGAATGTGATATTTTCTTTTGTGTTTAAGTTTAGTAAGTCCTTTCCTATTCATAGAAAAGGTAAATGTTTATGTTATAGTTCATGTTATAGTTTTTGGTTTTTTATGCTTGGATCTTCAATTCATTGGAGGTTTTTCTTTTGTTTTGTTTTTGTATTACCAAATAGCTATTTTTATAACGCTATTTTATTTTTTTCTAAGTTTATTTATTTATTTTTGAAAGAGAGAGAGAGAGAGCACACACAGGAAACGTGCAGAGAGAGAGAGGGAAACACAGAATCTGAAGCAGGCTCCAAGCTCTACACTGTCAGCACAGAGCCCAATGTGGGGCTCATACCCAAGAACCGTGAGATCATGACCTGAGCCGAAATCAGGCGCTTAACTGACTAAGCCACCCAGGCATGCCACAACACTCTGCAAGAAATAGAACAATTTCCCTCTTTTCTGTTACTTAGTGATTTTTATACATTAAGCTCTTTTAAATTCTAGTGCCTGTTTCTGTGTCTGTCTTGTTTCACTGAAAAGCTCTTCTTGTGTCAATAGCACTCTGTTTTAATTATTGTGCTTTATAATGTTTTAGTAACTGGAAGGTCTAGTGAGTAGAATGACCTTACTAAGTATAACCTCGTGGCCTCTCAAAGCTGCAGACCTTTCCACAATGCAACCTGATGCCATTCAAAAATGTTGAAGAGTTGGGTGGCTTTTCACCTAAGAATATGAAAGAGGGCAAAATTTCCTAAGATTATAGGTCTGTGGAGCTGGCCAGAAAAAAAACATTTTAACATTCTAAGATAGCCACAGAAATGAAAAGTGCAATCAAGTGTTTTAGCACCCTGGGTGAGAGTCATAGACTTCCATGAGTAAATGGAAGAAAGAGGTCATGATATGATTCAAACCTAGACATTTCAATGAGTTCTGCTGCATAAGCAAAGTTTGGCCAGTAAATTAGTTTTCATATTTTTGTGCATGTTTGTCAAACTATGGAAAGTAGAATTCAACTGCAAAAGTAACTGAGATTGGAAAGCTTCTGTTGACATTCTTTTGATAATTTAAACAATATTTCAGTTATAAGTTTTAGTTTTTTCAACTTTTGAGGCGATTCTGGCCATTACAGTTTTTCTGTTAATCATTCAATCAGTATTCAACCAATACTGAGATTTCTGCTTATCTGCGTATACTGATGTTTATTATTTTGTAATAGAAAATTTTCAGTATATTGCTCATTTATGTTTAAAAAATTTTTTAAAATATTTATTTATTTTTGAGAGACAGAGCGTGAGCAGGGGAGGGGCAGAGAGAGACACAGACACATAGAATCCAAAGCAGGCTCCGGGCTCTGAGTTGTCAGCACAGAGCCCAACATGGGGTTCGAACCCAGGAACTGCGAGATCATGACCCGAGCGGAAGTCAGATGCTCAACCGACTGAGTCACCCAGGAGCCCCCCGTTTATGTTTTGTTCTTCATTGTGTGTGTGTATTGATTTGGCAGGAAATGTTTATTTTATTTGTTTATCTTTTCCCCTAGAACACCTATTGGATCAAGAGTTGGACTCTTAACCAACTGATCCACCCAGACGCCCTTAATTTTTTTTTTTTAAGAAAAAAAAGCATTTTAAGTTTATAGTTATTTACCACTGAGTATAGCTTGGTTACAACTCCAAAACTAACTTTTCTATGTATTATTCTCATTTTCATTATTTTACAAATAGTTTAATGTATTTGTTTTCCTTTTTGATTCAATATTATTTTACTAAAAATAAAAACAACAACAACAAATGAAGCACCCACTATGCAGATCACGACTCCCTCTCTCTTTACATTCTTAAATAGTGGAACAACTCTTTTTTGTTCCATTCCTCCCTAAAAATGGTTTGTCAAAATTATGCCAGAGAAGAATTTTGGGAAAACTAACATGAGTCATTGCATTTGGGTCATTTAACTCACATATTTGGTACCACTTCCATATGTCCCAGGTTAAACCAACCAATTTTGAGAATGTAGGTTTTATGTCATTTAATAAAATGAACAAAGTGTGTAAAGTGCAAGACTTAGGAAAAAGGATCGTTTTGACATCAGCTAATTTGTGCCACAGCTAATATCTTGGATCCATGATTCAAGGGCTGAAATGTAACTAAAGTAGCAGTTTCTTTTGCCCAGAGCGCACAATAAGCAGCACATACGATGGAAAGATACAGGTGAAGGTTCTAGAACACAAAACCTGTGGGAAGGAGGAGCCATGACCCCAGTTGTTGAGCCCTCAGGCCTTCAGAGTGGCCATCCTGGGTGATGAACATCCCTTATTGCTGGCCAGGGCTTTTCCTCTCGATCCACTGTGGCCAGTTACTGCAGTGACCTGGGAGGGTTTGTGTGGATCACAGGAACTCTGGGCCCCTTGAAATTGAGCGCTGAGTGTCCGAGTTCGGCTCAGGTCATGATCTCACGGTTCGTGGGGTTGTGCCCCTGTGGGTCTCTGTGCTGACAGCTGGGAGCCTGGAGCCTGCTTCGGATTTTGTGTCTTCCTCTCTCTCTCCCCTCCCCTGCTCATGTTCTGTCTCTCTCTCTCTCAAAAATGAATACACATTAAAAAAAAATTAAGAATATGTTCAGATTTTAGAAATCAATGGTTTTTAAAAAGGAGGAGGAAGAGGAGGAGAAAAGCAACAGATACAACTCTGAGATAGTTCAGAAAAACAGCAATAATTGAGAGTTCCACATGACCAATTTTGGGAACTAGTTCTCCCCACCCTGCCCCTCACTCCCAGCTCCTTTTTGAAAGCAAGGGCTTTCTGTAGCTAATGACACTTTAGAGGGCACGAAATCACTAGGATAAATCATGTTTAAATATGGCGTTGATAGGGGCGCCTGGGTGGCCCAGTTGGTTAAATGTTAGACTTCAGCTCAGGTCATGATCTCACGGTTCGTGGGTTCAAGCTCTGCATCGGGCTCTGTGCTGAACTCTTGCTCAGAGCCTGGAGCCTGCTTCAGATTCTGTGTCTCCTTCTCTCTCTGCCCCTCCCCCATTTGTGCTCTGTCTCACTGTCTTTCAAAAATAAATAAATGTAAAAAAAAATTAAATATGGTGTTGATAAAGTGTCTTCTGTTCTCAAGTTGTTACCTTGTTTTAATAAATCAAATCAAATCAAGACATGCTAAATTTCATACAGTTCATTGTGTTGTAGCTCCATTCATTACAAAAAGCCTTTAACAGTAGCTCTAGGTACTCCTGGATGCCTCAGTCAGTTAAGTGTCTGACTCTTGGTCTTGGCTCAGGTCATGATCTCATGGCTCATGAGCTCGAGCCCTGTGATGGGCTCTCTGCTGACAGTGTGGAGCCTGCTTGGGATTCTCTCTCCCTCTCTCTCTGCCCCACCCCTGCGCTCCCTCTTTCTCTCTCTCTCTCTCAAAATGAAAAGTAAACATAAAAAATAATTTAAAAAGTCATTCTAAACTAACATATTTCTAAATATTGCCTATATAAATCATGCTCCTATACATCATATACCAAACTTGATCATTTCATAGGTCACAGAAGGTTAAGGTTGGAGGGAAACTTCCAGATTATAGAGTTGGTTTTCACTTCCTAAATACTAACATGGCATCGTATCTGTGAATGCTCTAGAATTACTGCACACTTATTTTAGTTGTTCCAAAATGTTTGGAAAGAGGTAAGAAGGAGTTTTGTTAAGCTCACTTTAGAATTCTGTGTAAGGTCTAATCTATCCTCAATTAAAATTCTCTTTGAATTTAAAATTTTTTTTTAACGTTTTTATTTATTTTTGAGACAGAGAGAGACAGAGCATGAACAGGGGAGGGTCAGAGAGAGGGAGACATAGAATCTGAAACAGGCTCCAGGCTCCGAGCTGTCAGCACAGAGCCTGACGCAGGGCTCGAACTCACAAACCGTGAGATCATGACCTGAGCTGAAGTCGGCCGCCCAACCGACTGAGCCACCCAGGCACCCCTCTCTTTGAGTTTTAAAAACATGCTCACATTGACCAGATGAATTTAGTGTACACATGTCTGAAATTAGTTTACAAATGTCTGAAATATGTTTAAGCTCAGAAATTGAGGCTATGTGTGAAAATTTATTTGTAACTAGCTCCCTCTAGTGAGAATTATTTAAAATTGAATGGTTCATTTCTATCTGAACTGGTAAAAGTTTTTGAAGAGCAGTTTTCAATTTTTAAGAACTATAAACTCTTGAATTATATTCTTTATAGAGTTCCAGAAAAATCTGAAATACATATATATACATATATGTATATATAGTATGTATATATATACTATCAATTCTTGAATTATATACTATATATAGTATATATGTGTATATATAATGTGTGCATATATATATACATATATATATATTTGTTGTTGTTGTTGTTGTTATAGGGCCCATTTTGGAAATAAGTTACAGCGAAAAACAATCCAAAGACACACATAATAAATTAGCTATGTGGCAACACCATAGCTGTAACTTTTTAGAGAATAAAGTTGACTTGAAAGGTAAATCTTGGCAGAAAACTGATATACCAACCGTTTTGAGACGAGAATTGAGTGTGGGGCACAATGGAGAGATGAGGATGAGACTGCTACAGAATTCAGGCTGAAAAGAATAATCTTGTTAACAGTTTGCAAACCGTTTTTCATTTGCTCTTTTGGATATCCTGTGAGGTAGGTGTTATCCCTTATTTTGCAGGTCAGGGAACAGTTGCAGCAAGGGAAGTGATATGACCAGTGCAGCAGAGCACCGTGGATGCTGTGCTTTGTTACCCAGATTCCCATTCAGGGCTGAGGTACGCATTCGTCCAGTTCTGGGGTTCCGGGGAGGTGGTGGGGTCATTGCCGCCTCTCAGCTGGACTGCTTTCTGGAATTGTCCTCAGCCAAAGAAATACACTTCACCCAAGGTCACGCAACCCTCAGCCTGAGACTATGTATATCCGATGATTGGTTCTTGTGACGGACAAAGACTTGTCCACCCTGCCTCGATTTGGGGTATCTTGTTAGAGCTATTCCCGCTTCAAAGCTCCCCTGAGCTGCGCTGCAGTTCAGCTCTTTTGTCTTCTGGGTCTTTCTTCACCACTCACAGGGGCTGTTTCTGCAAGGATTCTCCAATAACCTCTGCACGGAAACTTCAGTGTCTAGAATCTGTTTCCCAGTAAATCTAACCTGTGACAGTTGGTCCTGGATGTGGTCCTAAGGAACTAGGTCTAAAATGGGATTTTGTTGCTGCACCTGGCTGAATGTAATAAGGATGCCTTGCTGGTAGTAGAGAAACACAGCCACAGGCATGCAGTTCCCGTGCAATTGTTAAAACGTCTACAGGTGAAAACTAGGATGGGCTTCTGATGGGAGGTAGGGCATTGGCAGGTGCAATGTCTCACTGATTTGAGAGTTTCAAGGGAAAAGTAAGAATTTTGGAATTAGATGGCTGTTGCTGGGAGCCATCAATGCATTGGAGAGGGACAATAAAGGGTTGAGGATTACTCACCAATATAGTGGGAAATGTGAAGCCAGAGTGATTCTTTGGCTGTGTATGAATGCGTTCCCATCTCCTGTAGCCTGGGAGCAGTAAAGCTGGAGGCTTATAAGTGATAAGAGTAGCAGAGTTCCAGAGAATGTGGAATTCTCGACTGTGGTTAGGCCAGGGCCCTGATTTGGAAGGAATGAGACTTTATTTTATTTTTTATTTTTTTTAATGTTTACTTTTTATTGAGACAGGGGGAGACAGAGCGCCAGTGGGGGAGGGGCAGAGAGAGGGAGACACAGAATCTGAAACAGGCTCCAGGCTCTGAGCTGTCAGCACAGAGTCCGATGTGGGGCTCGAACCTGTGACCTGTGAGATCATGACCTGAGCCGAAGTCAGACACTTAACTGACTGAGGCACCCAGGTGCCCCTGGAAGGAATGAGACTTTTGATGGGGATCTCTGGGTTGATGCACTAAAAAAAAATTTTAATTTAAATCCAAGTTGGTTAACACATAGTGTAATAATGATTTCAGGAATAGAACTTAGTGATTCATCACTTACATAGGACACCCAGTGCTCCTCCCAAGTGCCCTCATTAATGCCCATCACCCATTTAGCTGATCCTCCTAATTACCTCCCTCCAGCAACCCTCAGTTGTTCTCTGTATTTAAGAGTCTCTTGTGGTTTGTCTCTCTCTCTGTTTTTCTTATTTTTGCTTCCCTTCCCCTGTGTTCATCTGTTTTGTTTCTTAAATTCTACATATGAGTGAAGTCATATGATGTTTGTCTTTCTTTGACTTATTTCGCTTGCCATAATACCCTCTAGTTCCATCCACGTTGTTGCAAATGGCAAGATTTCATTCTTTTTGATCACTGAGTAATATGCCATTGTATATATAAACCACATCTTCTTCATCCACTCATTGGTCAATGGATATTTGGGCTCTTTCCATAATTTGGCTGTTGTTGATAGTGCTGCTATAAACATTGGAGTGATGCACTAAAAAATTTTGAATCCTTAGTTCCCTTAGACCTTCTGGGCCTTCAGACATGACCCACTCCTTCCTGTTTAAAGACTAGTGCCTCTTGTTTATTTGTAGAAGACGCAGAGGACCTTGCCTTGCAAGCCTCTATCTCCTCTCTTGGCCATCAGGCCCCTAACTAGGGTCAAATCACAACACAACCTGGCCGAGAAGTACCGGGCCTGCTAAGGGAGAAAAGGACTACACCCTGAAGTAGTTTAGGACCTGGTCCACACATGGCATCAAGAAGCTGGAGTGTATGTATGGGACTGGATCCCGAGGGTGCCCAGAATATAACATCGGGATAGGGAGAGTTATGTGAGAGCTTCTCTCCTGGTACAGGATTTACACGTTGGCAAGCGCCCCAGGAGATGGCGCTAATATACTGTAAATTTGCCTCTTAGAAGCATGGCCTGGTGAGAAGGTAACAGTATCGATGAGAAGTTCTTTTAAAAAAATTTTATTTTTTTGTTGAATAAATTTGACATATAACATGTAAGTTTAAGGTGTACAGCATGTTACTCTGATGCATTTATATGTTGTAATATGATTGTTCTTGTAGTAATATTGATCACATTACATAATTACAGTACAGTATTATTACCTATATTCATTATACTGTGCATTAGGTCCCTGTGGCTTATTTACTATTCCTTACGTGTTTGTACCCTCAAATACCATCAATGTTATCACTCCCCTCACTGAATATGTCTTGTAGCTACTCTCCAGAGCTTTGAAGGCCAGGGTTGGTGGTAGGAGATGCTGTTCCAGAGCTGAGCTCGCTGATAGTGATGGGGATGGGCTTGTCCTGAAATAGAGGCCAGGTGCTCGAGTGCAACTGCCATCAGCTAGGTGGGTGCAGTTACTTTAATGAGCAGCTGTGAGCATATTGGCTGTCAACCTAGAATAACAGGATATCAGGGTCAGGGAACAGCTTTCTCCCCACTCCAGAAACACACCGCTTTGGTTCCGTGAGGCCTGAAATGCCATTAGGTGAGAGCTCCATTTTTATTCTGTGTTAGGTCTAACTCTTGTTATCTGTTATTGTTACTGTTTTTTGAGTCTTTCTCCACAGAGATTCTGAGAACAATTAAGCCCCAGTGCCTTCTGGCGTCCGTTGCATGAGGTTCTTTAACTTCTTCCTGATATTTTAGAACTGGGCCACCCATTCCCGATTCTCTTGGAAGAATCGGTAAACAGTTACTCCAAGCTTGTTCGTGGGTTCGGATGAGGAACTCCAGCTGAGAAAGTCTACAGTCTACCCATATCCTTAACTTTTTCTTAACCTTTTCCAATAATGAGTAATTTACTTCTTTCCTCTAAAGACTTAGTTTCCCCCCAACCTTCTCAGAAATTATGTGTGTGTGTGTGTGGGGGGGGGGGTGTTGGGCATTCTAACATACCTCTGTTTCTCAAGCTTTGAATTGGGCTGTCAAACCTACAACAGATTTCATCTCTGCTCTCTCACCCTTCAGCCAAAGAATTCCTTGTCGCTTTGGGATCACTAGACCTCAGGCTTTTGAATCATTTTCTCTTTATGAAGGCGGCATCTCAGGTGAGTCCCTTCTCATTCTCTTTCCTGGTCCTCTCTTTGCCTTCAGAACACTAATTATTTTGCAACATTCATATAAACACATATAAATAATCTAGTTAATTATGTAAATGTAAAATTGAATGTAATCACTTTATGAGTAGTGAGTAGGGATCTTACTCCCTAAGCTCAGCTAGGTAAGAACTATAGCTTACAAATTTTTCTATCACAGGAAAATTTCTCACTCCGAGCCCTCATTCAGCCCAGGTATGAAGCCTAATAACCTCAGTCATGTCTAGGTTTCTCTACTGGCCCCATCCCAGAGCGTTTATTCAACTTCAGATGGTTTTGCAGAGTTCCCTGGGTGAAGGTAGCTTATCTCATTTCTCTGGTTCCTGCTTCTCAACCCCTTTTGCCAGCCCCTCCCCTTCTGCTAGGTCCCTGTGTTTTGGGGTAGCCCAGGGCTTAGGGACTGCTCTGAGCTCATCAATACTTTCTGTAGTTCATTTGAGCACAGTCTGCTGCACTGCCTCCTGTGGAGGTAACATGTAAGAGCTGAGGTCTGTCTGGACTTCTCGGGAGAGGAATGGGCTGGCAGAAGAGATTTCAAAGATGAAATTAATTAATCCTAGGAAAAGAATGACGGTTGATTTCCAGTTTCTCTCTACTACCCAGACTTCTCCAGAGCCCAGGAGATGGGGAAAATATATTTAAACCTTTTCCTCTGGTATTCCTTCCCTCCTTTCTCAGATACTTACTGATTGCCAGCTATGTGCCAAGGGGAAAGGACTAGATCCTGGGGAATCTATTTTTTGGCTCTCTGGATAGAAAAGATGTATCATTTTGAGAAGTTTTTGAACAACTTGTAGTCTTCCCTGAAATCATCTACTTAACTGTCTATCAATTTCAACTTGAACTGTCTTCTTATTAAATGGACCACCATTAAGTGTTGTGATAGTACTAGAAAACAAGCAATTTGTAAAGCATTTGCACAAATTCTAACCAGGCTCACTACTTTGGTTTTCTCTATTATCTACTTAGCAATCAAAGCAACTCCTTAATTTAACATATGACGTTGAAAATAATTTGACAATATTTCCAATTAAGTTAATCTTCACGTTGCTTTTGTGTTCTTTGTCATCACATGTAGAATGATAAAATTCTGTTTTGCATATTTTTCATGAATATGGGGTGTGTTTTTCCATTTGGGTCAATAATAGCTCATTATTATCTCATTTCAGAGATGAGTTCAATACTCAATCTACAAATTACATAGTAACCAATTTCTCCAAATTAACCACAAGTCAGAATGAAGCTCACAAGCCACTTTTCCTATATTTTTGCCTATCTGTAAGAAGCCAAAGCTTAATGATCTACTTCAACTAAATAGGTTGGACAGAATTTAGATGTTCATTAGCAAAAAGTCTGACCCAGAAGCAAGATAGGTCATCACAGAAATGAAGAAAAGAGGAAATTACAGTTTAGACCACATTATCCAATCTCTGATTTATGGTTGGAGAAGATCATCGAAGTGACTGTCCTAATTCTTGTTTAACAGAAGACCTAAAAAATGGGAATAATATTTGTTGTTCTGTTTTTAAGTTCTGCTCAATATTTAGACTATTCCCAAGAAAAATAGGTTGTAAGAACCAATCGATAGAGAATATCAGGAAAGAAGTAATTCTGCCTGGGAAAATCTAACCTGAATTTTGATTGGTACATGAGCTACCAGTTTGGTGACACTGTTAAGATATTCTGATAAAAGACAACTATTTTTAAAGGAAAAGTCTGAGAGAATCTCACAATAGCTCCATTCGGGCATTAAAAAAAGTCACGTTGTTGCCATGGAAATATTCTGATAATTTACATGACTGTGTCAGAGCTTTTTCATTCGTCTATTAGAACAGACTTCCTTTACAAAAGTGTTCATTTTTATGTG